CACGTGCAGGTGGAACCCTACACTAGAAGGTCTAACAATGTAAGATTTGAACAGACTGGAGAAATTGCCAAGAACCCCCCCTTACCAATTTCTCTTATTTGGTAGTCAAATAAGTGCTAATACTAGTTTAGGATAAAATTCATAAAAATTTCTTGAATTATGTTGACCTGCTAAAATCAAAGCTTCAAAAAAAAATTGGATGAGTGGACAAAACATAGAGAGAATGCTATGAAAAATTATCAGAATTGATTCGTGCTAGAATATTCATGATGATAGAATAAAAAAATGAATGTCTTAGTTTTGTTTTTTTTTTTTAATAAAAAAATTTTATTCCAAAAAGACAAAAGATACAGCCAAGGCCAACAAGCCATAAACCCGAGGCAGCCAAAACCAAAAAAAAATACAAAGGGGGCACTCAAACAAGGAGAAGAAGGCACAGACTACGAACCACTCCAAATCCGAACACGAACCATCCAAAAGAGTTAAAAGGCAGAAATCCACCAAAAGCCAACCAACCGCCATCACCGCTAACAAGAATCACCACCTAAGGTTGCCAACTAGCCACAGATTGGAGCAATGAGCCAGAGCCACATCATTGCCCAGAAATCGCAAGCTAAATCTGCAATGCCACCATAAGGCAAACCCAGAAAAGGCAATAAGAATTCGCAGATAAGGAGAAACAAAAACAACCAACGTAGCAGCCACCACTTACAATTATTTTCGACCACGTTTACCCCTCCCACCAGAGGAAACAAATACAACAAGACGGTCCTTATGCAACGCTAACTTAACAGCAGGTTCATCTTCCCCACTAGCCTCTGAAGAGGAGTTGGACGAATATTGAAGCCAATCTAGTTGCAACCTAACAGCCTCCCATGAATTGGCACCCACATGATCAACCAAAGCCTTAGGAGATAATAAATTAACCATGACCACAACAAAATAGGCGTAACAGGGGAAACATCAACACAGGCAAAAACCACATTCGCCAAGCCAACACCATATTCATCCGCACGATCAGGATAAAATTCATTAGGCTTGCGAGACGAATCCGAAAAATCCACAGCCACACCATGCCCAACATACCCAGGCAAACAGGACAGGGCAGACACAGTACCCAAATTGGATTAAACAGGACAAGAATTAACAACACAACCCAAACACCCACCTGCACTAGCACAATCTCAAGAGCCCAAAACACCAGGCAAACCCCCACCCACCACACCCTTAGAAACAAGCATAGGAGATACAGCAGCAACCTTATCAACAGAACCCAAACTGACCACAGGTAACGAGACATTGTCACAGACATCAACCAGATTTTCCACAAACTCAACATTCACATTGAGATTATCTAAAGAAGTAGCCACCTGCATAATACCAGCATTCTCCACCGAAGGCGAAATAGGGTCCTCATTAACCAAATGTGCCATAGGCAGCAGACACAGAGCAAAAGAAGAACAAGGAGATTTAACAGAAATAAACTAATCACCCTCAACGGGAGAAGAGCAAATATTCGATTCAGGATTAATCAAATGCTTGTGAGAAACCTTACATAATTGAAATATCAGCCACATAACAACAATTATCAGAAGAATGCCCAAATTTCTTGCAAGAAGAACAAAAAGGAGGGAAATCATCCAAAATCACTTGCTGAACATATTCAGGCATCTCAGGGCCTAACCAGATCTTATTGGGATAAGATTTAGTAACAACCAACTCTACCAAGATACGATCTAGGGACAGCCTGGAACCAATGGAGGTAGTGGTATCAATTTTAAGGGGTTTGTCAAAAAACAAACCTAAGCCGTGAAGAATGCGAGGAGAGAAGAGATGGGGGCGCAGTTGAGGGAAAGAAATCCAAATGGAGACAATCGGCGACTCGACACCAATATCCACAAGGGGCGACCACTTGGTAAGCTTAATGTAACAATTATAAACTAAGTATGATCCATGGCAGAAAGATCGTTTTTGAGCTTGATGAGGATATGCATCGGGTCCACCAAAGTTAACCGAGAATTCCCCATTCAACTTTAGCTGAAAGAAAAATCATCGTACGTATAGAGTCCAAGGATGGTCATTTAGAGGGGAAAAATTGACTAGAGATAACTAGAAAAGCTCAGCTAACGCCGAAATTTCTTGTTCCGAGATCTAAAGAGAATGAATACCACGAAAGGAAGAAACCCTAAGCTCTGGAAAATTAGAGACAGATGACGAGCCCGTAAGGACATCTAAAAACGAACGAGAAGAAGATGAACCCTCTAAAAACCCAAGGTCGCAAAGCTTCAGAGGCATGCCGGCAAACGCCGGAAAAAACAAAAACCAAACCAACAAAAGCTAGGCCCAAAGCATAACCAAAGAGGGAGGAGAACTTCCCTGGAGGACGGCGCCACCATGGCAAGAGACCCCAGCCAAAGGAACTCGCCGGTAAAAGATAGGGCAAAGCCCTAGCAGAGCGGGCAAAAACCTGAGCGGGCGGATGAGAGAGACGTACTTAGGTAAGATGATAGAAGGAAAATAGCATGATTGTCTTAGTTTTGTATGAAAACTCATCGCATGCAATAAAAATAGTTAACATGATGTTAAAATTTTTATGTAGAAAAACCTGGAAAGGTAAAAAACTCATGAGGAACAAACCGTTCTATAAGTACAATTAGAAAAATTTGCTCCTCTCAAGTGGAGAAGATAGGATTACAAAGCTTGGAACGCTAGCTTTGTGTCATATGAGTATAGACTTATAGTAAGATTGTTGTAGAAGTAGTTGAGGATGTGATGGCGGCGATTAGGCAATGAAGGACAGACAACGGTAATCATGAGACAGCACTCAAGTAATGGCATGCATGCAATGACAGTTAAGAGAGCAATCTAACGATGGTGGTTGGACAATGAAGGTTAGGCGACTGTGGCTGGACTACAAATGTAGGGAGATGACAGTTGGGCAATGAGAGTCGAGTGATGGCAGACAAATAACAATTATTGGTTGATGGGAATTCAACAATGGTGGTCGAGCAACACCGATTGTTGGCAATGAATGTCAACATCAATCGCCAAATGATGCTCTAGAGTTCTTCTAAGCTCTCTTCACATTCAATTCAAGATCCAATCTCTCCCTCCTGTTAAAAATAGAGGTTTATTTATAATTTTATGGGGTGACATTATGATAATTTTAGTCAAAATCCCCAAAACACTATTAAATAGCTTGTATTAATTCCTTTATCATAAATCTTTCTTTCAACATTTAAGTGCCTTAATAGTTTAAAAATTCAATGATCTTATACTCATTGGATTTTTCTTTTCAAAATGCTCATTTTGATAATAAGCAAAAGATTCAAAATTGTTTGATTCTTAAATTAATGTCATAAACTTCCTAACTATACTTCAAGTGTTTAATTTAAACTCATTTCGAGTAAAATCAAATCACTTTTAATATCATTAGGCTCATCTTATCGAGATGCTCGGTTCTGCTATGTTTGTTGAAATTGGAGTTTGGATTCCTGAATTTATTTCAAAAAAAAATTCAATTCAAATATTGCAACAAGATTCATGGTCTATCAAGTGAATTTTGTGATGATATATCATTTGTGCCTTATTTTTTTAATGTAAAAATATATTTTGTCCGAAAATACATTCATTGAAAAATATATTGGCACAAAATTATAATTTCAAAAAAAAACAAAAAACCTTTTAGATGAGACTACTCTCTAGACATCAATGTGAACCTACCCCTAAGACTATGAATCAAGTAAATTATCCTCATTCATAATTTCAAACTTTCTAAAATTGATGCACCAAGAGAAATAAAAATCATTGAAAATTTTAGATCTAGAGAAATTAGCTCAAAATTAGTTGGGGAAGCTCAATTAGATTCCCAAAGTATTAAAATTGAGTCTATAACAATGAAAATTGTCTAATGATCTCAGAAACATCCAAATTGGTCCATTTGGGCCTAAATCCAATCGAACTCATAGAACTAGTGAACTATTGTGGCAGAAGAATAGGCAGATTTTTTTCATAAAAAATGCGAGTTATTTTGATAAAAAAATAAGAAATATCATTGGCCTATTTGGGCCCAGAATCTAGCCGTTATGGCACATGAATAAACAGAATTTTCTTATAAAAAATGCAGGTTATTATTATAAAAAGTAAAAAAAAAAATATTTTAAAAAAATGCATTTATTTGCCCAAAAATTTGATAGAAAAATTGAAAAAAAATCCAAAAGTTTCTCATAATTCTTAATAAAATTGTCTCCCTATGAAATGAGGAGAAAACTCACATCAAGACCTACAATCTTTATGATGCAGCTTCAATCTTCTCCTGAAAGAAATTGTCCCCATTTGAATAGATTAAAGTTAAGTACTGAAGCCTGAAGGTCTTCAATCCCTATAGAGTAGCTTCAGATGTATTAGAACTATTATGAGAGAGGTTCTTAATCCCTATGTCAGAGTGCTGATCTTCTTTTCAAAGAAGTTGATTATCTCTATTTGGAATGAATGGATTTAAGGTGAGAGAACTTTTCTGTTCTTTTAGCCTATGCAAATAGATGAGATTGATGCAACAGCATGTTCTTAGCACAATGATCCAAAAATGATGATGAAATAGTCCACCCAAAAATATTGGAAATTTGTTCAATATTCTAATTTTTTATATCTAGGGTAAGAAAATCGTCCCAAATGAAGCCTAAAACTGAAGCAAATTAGACCGACAGCTTTGCGATTTATGTAATTGGTGAAATTGTGAAAGATGTGAGGGCCACCTTATACTTGCATTGGATGTTCATCCTTGCTGACACATCTAGATTAAAAATTTTATGTTAAAAAGTTGCTTTAAGAAGCAAAAAGAAAACCGTCCCAAACAAAGCCTAAGACTTGATTTGGTACGACTTTTTTATTGCCTTCTAAAATAGCTTTTTAGAGCAAATTTTTTTGATACTAAAAAGCTACTTCAAAAAACAATAAGAGAATAGAGAACTATTCCGAACAAAACCTTAAACAGCACTACATCTCAAAATTCTTATAACAAAACCTTTCTTGATCGCCATTGACTTCTACAAATCTATGTACTTAAATCAATACAAAGTTTACAAAATCTATGTTCAAAAATCACTATCATTGACAAATACTTGTATCCAAAGCAACAGAAGTTTACTTCATGAAGTAGAGAACAAATCACTATCAGGCTTCAGTGAAGCAAAACACATACAAGGAGGGTCTATAAGTCTATTGAGTAAATGGAGAATTTTCTCCAAATTTTCTAGGATTACCTTGATTTATGTACATTCCTTTGCTTGTCAGAGACTCAAAACCTTCACTGCTGCTCTATAAATGGTTCAGCTGCTTCAACCTTGCTGGAAGAGCCCATTCGCTGCAGTGAAAGCACACGAGAGAGGTGCGGAGCAGAATAAGTAAAATAGAGCATAAATTGCATAATAAAGAGAACTTCAAGCAGAAATCATGTTGCTTATGTAACATGAAGAATTAAAAGAGTAAAAATTGTCATCTAATACAGATTATTACAATTATTCCAAAAATAGGCTAAGAAGCTTTCATAACATTACGGGCAACTGCACATTCTGCAACAAACTTGTTATATTGATATTTGATAGAGATAGACCTAAAAAGATTTGGTTAGAAAATATTATAAATGTTCTTTCTTTATTAGATTTAAATGAGAATTTGTCTATTAACAGAACATAATGGAGAAAAAGGATTCATGTAGCCGACCTCATGTAGAGGGATAAAGGCTTGATGTTGTTGCATTGAATTGGGCATCATTTCCCACATAGTAGGATAAAAACTTGATGTTGTTCTCGTTGTATTATATTATGCTTCATTGTGATGTACTAAGTTGATGACTACTTGATAAAAGAGTTGTTAAACTAGCTTTCCTGTGTATTTTATTTTGTTGTGATGGACAAGCTTGCCTGATAAAAAACAGTGAAGAAGCAAGAAAAGGCATAAAAATAATTTATAATTATCCATCCATAAATAAAAATGAATAAAGAATACTATCATGATTAAAGAATAATTTATAAAATAATAATAATCAATTTTTCAATAAAGAAAAAGAATGAACATTCATCAAAACAAACTAATATCATAATTGAAAATAAAATAAATAATAATTGATTTTTTTTTTTTGGTAATATTGAAATAGATTAGGCTACTTTTATTTTAAGAAAATTTAACCCAAAACTACACTTACAAAAAGCATGTTTGCTTGGTTTTTTATTAACCCCTATAATTTAGCATTTGTACAGCATCATTTTTTCACAGCTACTAATTTATTTTGTACCAACATCTCAAATTGATTTTGCTAACTTAAAACACAATCAATTAACAAAACTCATTGTATAATGGACGGCCAAAGATTTGAAATTGATTCATGCTTTAGGTTTATTTGGGTCTATTGGAGTTTACAAAAGAGAGTGAAAGAGAAGTGTAGATATGAGAAAAAAAGAGCGATGAAAGTGAGTTGAAAATTACAAGAGATTATTTCAAAGAAAAAAACTGTAATTGTACTTAATAATCGTCTGAAAAGCTAGAATAAAATATCTCATTATCCGCCTATGGACGGAGGCAAATTTTGCCGGACCATATAAATTTTTATCCCTTGTTTTCTTTATTTTTTATGCACTTGTATTTCTCATTTGTTCTATTGCTCTAACACACTTTTCTCAACTGATATCAAAGCTAGGCTTAGTGGCTTTAAGGGAAAATTGGGAGCAATGGTATTTGAGGATGGGAAGGTGAAGATCAGCAAATTCGAGGGCTTAAACTCTGGAGAGTAAAAGGTGCAAAATGAGAAGTAAATGTACCCCAAAAAAATAATTCTGAATCTATTAGAGATGAACCAATAACGAGTCAAGAAGGTAAAGATCTCCTGACAAAAATGCGTAGGAGTAACTTGCCTTATGAAGATGAATGATTTTGTTTTCAATATCATGCATAGATCTTAGAAATTATTATAATTTATCTTTCTTTATTAGATTAAATGAGAATTTAATTCTTAACAAGACACAATGGACAAAAATGATTCATGTTGCCGATCCCACATAGTGGGATAAAGGCTTGATGTTGTTGTTGTTGTAGTATCATGCATAAAAAAAAAATCTTAGATAGGGTAATAAAAGCTCCATTAGATATATACAAGAAGCCTTCGGAGATGAATAAACTATAGCTAATTAAAAAGTTTTTTTATTCTATGGATTAATGGAAATTATTTCAACAACAAATCATATATATGAATTCAATCGGAATACAAATAAGATAGATATCAACTTCAATGAAGAAGTTCATGCCCTAAGCATGTTGTTATCATTTCCAAAAAGCTATGTTGAAATGGATGGCTATCAATAATTCATTTAAACCTAAAAAGCTAAAATTCAATGATGTTTCTAATTTAATCATAAGTGCATCACGAGATGAAAATCAAGTGAAGGGTCTTGTCTGCTTGAAATTATAAAAGTAGAGAAAAAATGCAATGAGAGACTACAATGGAGGAAAATTCAAATCTCAAATACATTAATGTTTGGGGGTCATCCCTAATGACATCCTTTGGATGTTTACTATACTATGCCACTTTCATTGATAAATTCACCATAAAGGAATGATTTCATCTTCTGGAAAAAAAAAAAAAAACAAATGAGGTGTTTGTTTGTTTCGAATGATAAAGAAACAAGTGGAGAATGGTGATGTGATACCATGTGACTACAAGAATTGCAAATCAAGAGATTAATAAAAGTTATTAAATTCTAATATTAATCAATAAAATCTAGCTTACTCAAGTAGAGTTTTCAAGAGGATGTCATGAAAAATTAAGTCATAGCATTTGATTACAATTGGAGATTACAAGAACATTGCAAAAGAATAACCAAAGAAATCTAAATAATGCAAATAGCCACGATAATGAAGCCTCACGTTTAAAATATAGATCCTTCACCTTGAGATCCTTTAATCAACTCTTGATGGTGGAGGTTAGCGGAAGAGGATCGTAAGCACACTTAGAGAAACCACTAGTACACAAGTGATGCCGAGAGGACTCCTCGTCGGGGAAGAAGCAAGAGTTGGAGGGGCGGGTGGATGGTTGTTGATGGTCAAATCGTAATCCGAGAATTGATCGTCGAGGACGTCCACGAGATGAGGGAGGATTCGGTTCAAGTAATCTTCAACGGTATCGTCAAAACCGAACCCGACGTCGAAGAAAGGTGATCGAGTGATGTGGATGTCTCCGTAGGCGTCGAGTACAAATCCGCTATCAAATTCGGGATCCGCCATGTATCCTCGCCAAGGGTTCAAGGATTACCCAAGATGGGAGAGGGGGTGGCCGGATTAGAGAGGTGGAGGGGAGAGGGGAAGGGCCGTGGGCTAGATGAGAGAGGGGATCACGGTTTTGGGAGGGAGATGGGAGAATCAATTTCAAATTTCAGATTTTGAAATCAGAAATTAAAATCTGTGGAATCTGAAATTAAATCTGTGAGAGGGAGGCATTAAAGGGGTATTTAAGTGGTGATGAGGTGGCAATTAGAGAGAAAACAATAAGGGTGAGGTGGCCGGCCATATGGAGAGAGAGAGGGGCTTGGTATTAACTAGGTGGGGCCCAAGGGAATAATTAAATTAAGATCAAATCTGAATTTAAATTCAGATTTGTTCTAATTTAAGAAAGTTTCCCAATTTAGGGGAATAAGGGAGGGAAAGAGGTTTGAATTTCAAAATTGAGTTAATTCCCATTGATTGACTTTCCCAATTAGAGAAAGTCTGTTTTAGGAAAGTAATTTACTCAATGGAATTTGAAATTCAAAGGGGGAAGCAAGTGGGGGCCGGCAGCATGCTTGGGAGGCTGAGAGGGGCGGCGGGCTGGGGGCTGTCGGGCTGGCAGAGGCTCCAGCCGGCGGTATGGCTGGGGGGGGGCGGCGGGGTGGGGGGCTGGGGGTGAAAATCGTGGAAGAGAACAAAGGGAAGGGGCCGCAGGTCTTGGGAGGAGCTTGAGGAGGGAGATGGGGTAGGAGAATAATGGAGATATGAGAGTATACAGCTAGGAAAAGAAAAGAAAAAACTCTTTCTCAAGAACTCACTAAAAGATCTTGAGATTTCACTCAAGAACTCACTAAGAGATCACAAAACAAAGTTTCATTCATCAAAAACTAAAACTTCTTACATGACATGAGGCCTCTTATAAGGGGCCAAAATAAAATAAAACGGAAATGACACAAATGCCCTTAGGGCTACATAAGTGACTCCATGCCCACAGGGGCAAACTAGGAAAATAAATACAAGCATAAATAAAATGCAAAAATAAATCAAAAATAGAGGCTCTGGATCGCAGCCGTCGATCAGCGTCTCCGACGATGGTACACGTGTCGAAATTTGATGTCCTCATCAAATGGTTATGCATATCAAGTACTTGAGATAAGAAAGCACAAGAGAATAGAACAACAAAGAGTTCAAATTTTGTGTGCAGCTGGTGGAATGCATATGTAAAGTATGTATCTAGAAACACTACAGTGGGATGGGATTACTCAGCACATGTACAAGATTTTGAATGAAAAAGCTAGAAGTATAAGATTGCATCAGGATTGCCCAACGCTTCTGGACGAATGTTGTGAATACTAAAATTTATTTGATCAACAGAGGGACCTTTAATTCCTCTGAGTTGAAACTTACCTAAATGGACTATCAAGGAGGAAAATATTTTTCATTTAAAGATTTTATACTATCTTTTTGAAGTACATATGGAATTTAGTGGTTGTTACTATTGGGATAAGGAATTGATGATCTTGGTTATCAAAGTTAAGGTCTTCAAAAGATTATGATCATTAAAAGTGTTAAATTCAATGAAACCAATCTAAATAAGGATAAGTTCATATATACAAGATGATAAGCAGTGAAAATGTTGAGATTAAAGAGATATATAATGAGGTGCAAGTAAGTGAACAAGTGACTAAGAACATTGAAATGTAAGGAAAGCTAACCTTGGTTGTCGTGAGCTGAGAATATCTCAATAGATGCTTATAACTAGTTATAATTCCTTCTTTGCATTACTTGTTGCTAACAAATGTTGGAGAACATGAAGGAGAAGCACAGGAAAAAATCTTTGCAAAGTCACAAAGGATAAGAGGGCATTGCAAAAGATTGAAATACTATAAAGCCTTAACCAACCCAGATTTAAGGGGAGGTGCCACACAAAGATGGCTTCAAATAAATATATCATAAAACTAATCACCGAGTGAAAGATTGCTATGATGTGAAGCTTGGTCTTCCTCAACAATTCAGGCTATGAATTTAAAGAATCCATGGATATTTCTCGTGAAATCTCTAACTTAAAGTTTGAAGTAGATTTCAAAGTACATAACACGGTTTAATATGACAAGCAATCATCAAACAACAAATTCAATATGCATAATTCATGACAGTTCAATATCATTATAGTGGTACTTCACACCATTCTGCAAGGCATCACACAGATCAATCAATCAAAATTAGCCATATATATGTTATTAAGAGTATGTACATTAATTGTCATTGTTCATAAATTTGATTCAAACCTAAGTATATTCAAGCGCCCATTTATATGTTCAAGTTAGTTTGGGTTGATATTGATCCTAAAGCAATCATATGGAATGTGAACTTGAGTTTGATTTCTCAAGGGTTCTCTTATTGGCGCATATGAAAGGATTTAAAGCATGGATGATTGCTTCAAAGCTTGCCATATGTTCTCCCTTGGCATATGTCACTTCTTAAAGTGACAGGGTTGCATGTCTAGTGCTTAAGAGGAGAGGGTGGCCTTAGGAGCTTTCATAGTATTGGTAAGCAGAGAGACATATTTAGGGTTTGTGTGAGAGCTGGGAAGACCTTAGAGAACGAAGTGATATTGGCAGAAGCTTTACTAAGGGTCTTCACATGATTTTAGTATATGAACTTTGATTTAACATCATGAGCAACAGTGTTCTATTGCATGCTTAGATGAGTTGTATAATTTCAATATGCATATGAAAGTGATCATTGAAATGATGTGTGAAAAAGAGTCCATCTTGCATCATACATGATGATATATGACAAATAATTAAATAATATAGCATGATTAGCATGCTGGTTTTATTTATAAACATATTGATCCAAGTGATATAAGTATATGAATAAATTATGTGCCATAACATGAATGATTGCCACATGAAATAAGGACATAATGACGTGATATATATTATATTAAGAATGATTATAGTACATTTACAGGTTGAGAAACAATGCTTGCACCAATTGGGATTGCGGATTGCCTAAATGGCATATGAGTAGGTAAGGCAGTTGGCCCCTTCCACAGAAGTACAAGGAAATGACTGGATTTCACTAAGACATTCAGGTTGGTACCAATTTGATTGCCAATTAGTGCGGCACAAACCCCATCAAAAGACTGAAGAACAGGCTATGTGCCTAATAATAAAAGTGATTGATGTATAATTGAATCATGTCAGTTCTTATATATTTTAATGATCGACTTATTTATGTGTTGCATGAAGTGAATATACTGATTTACATGTCACATGGATATTCGTTCTCTTTTTATTGATTTCTTATTATATTAGACTCCGTGTTACCTACAGTTTTATGCTTATCTATGATTACACGATGTTTTTTTTATATCATTAAAAAAAAATCTTATGACTAAGATATTTGAAGAGGTCTTATTATCCTAGCGGGAGAGTTGTAGGGATATGTATATGCATCTAGGAAGAATGTAAAAGCATGTGATTATAAATATGATGTTAATGTGATCAAGTGTGAGAATCTTTATCCCCATGTTTATCGTTTGAATCCAAGTGCTCTTGAATCAAATCTTGCAATATGAATCTATGCCATGAATAATTTATGTTTTATGTTGGCTCTGTATTGCTCAAAGATATCTATTTAGTATGCATCATTTATTTAATGTTCTATGTTGGATTTTATTTTCCTACATGCACTTCCTCAATCCAACCCAGTTTTGTGATCAGCCACAATGTTGTAGTTGGGTTGGTCTCTAACATAATATCTCCCTAATTGGGACCTAAAGATTAAGGACAATTACAGGGAGCCCCAAGTTCTATTTTGGTATAACTCGTATCATTTGTATCCTTGGATATGATAGTTACGGAATGAGTAATAATGCTTTATTTACATTTTCTTCTTGAAGGCTCCTTGGAACTTCATTGGCTTCTTACTCTCTTCCTTATTTCTCCCATGACTTTTATGGCTTTGTCACAGCTTCTAACACTCGCCAATGAGGTGATTCCCCTCTACTAAGCATAAGGAGTGCTTTAGTGAGCCATGGGATTGTGCTTCCCTGTGATTCAATTCAAAATCCCGATTTTGCATAAAAACTAAAATAAGAATGATCGTATTGTATAGTTGATTGATTCAATTATACAATCAACCATTTATATAATGCATTGACTCATGTGATCTTTGCCGACCCCACGTAGAGGGATAAAGGCATGATATTATTGTTGTTGTATTGACTCATGTGATGAATGTATAATATGTTATGCCTAAATATAAAGTACATTTAAAGGGAAAGGGAACAATACAATACAAACATGAATAGGATTGAATTTATGTGTGAAACATATATTGTATTCCAAGGAATACATGATAACCCCACTTATTTTGAGTTGTAGATTATGGGTTACTTTCATTGAGCTTAAGATGGGTTTTTTAGAGCCCCTTTTTTTCAAAGGGGAAAGGAATGACATTCATGTAGCAAACTATCTCGCAAAGAATATTTTGAATGGATATAACACACTTCATTTATTGAGCCCTACGTCTTTATCTGCATGCCAATATTTGTCCACATTTTCAAATGTAGTATATTTTTTCATCAGGTATTTTTCGGTGGAAAAAGATAGATTCCCCCAACTAAAATGTGCAATATGAAAGGTGGATATAACCCAAATGGTATGACTTGTGTAACTCAGCCTTTTAAAACTATGATAAGTTCTATGACTTTTATGTTACCAATATAAATTTGGTTTAGGAATGAACATCTATCTACATGATCAACCAAGTAATTGTTTAATGAGTTTGGGAACTGTCTTGATGATCTTTTGGGGTAAAATTTTCAAGTAGTCAACAAAATGAAACCAAAAACATATTCAACATCCTTCCACTCACAAATAAAAAAGCTAAATGATGTTTCACCAGGTAATACCTATTGAGCAAACCAAACATATTTGGCAATAGAAGGAATACAAACGAATCAAAATAAATTCACAATATGGATGAAAATAAACGAACTTATTTCTTTTTGGATATAATAAATATAGTTAACAAAATTATTTTTTTTTCAACATCTCAAATTTCATTATAAAAATAATCTTTTCTTAGATGACAATAAATTTATAAGGTTTTAAATTAAAATAGGTAACGTGGATGTGAGTTTTTAATTTCCTAGATTCATTGTTTCTATGAACTCGAATGGATGAAAGAGATGCCAAACTACAAAACAAGTAAAAAATGGAACCCTCATATGGATTAACTTGCATAATTGCCTAAAAAAAATTCCAAGAATAGCAGCTATCAAATTTGAAAAAAAAAAAAAAAAAAAACTACATTCATGTAACTAGTCAAAGCGATTGATACTAAATAGATGGACTGAAATAGTGCAATGCTTTTTATATGCTAAATTACCATTCGTTTACTTATATATGGTTGCAGCATGGATGATGCCTCCGAATGCAAGACATCCTTGAACATTTTTTTATTTTCCCGCTCAAATTCTTTTCTAGATTCCTTACGAGTGCCTGCTTGCCAAACTCTGCCAAAATTGGGAAGCCAATTGGCATCAACACTGTCCTTAACAATCTCTCCAGTTTTCTCCATTTCAAGTTCAATCCTTCTCTTCTCTGCCCATGCAGCCCCTACACGTTTAGGGTTCAACTTCTTTGACTTTCCCTTATGTGCTAAAGGAGCATGATTATTCATATGTGCTCCAAAGTTAAGAAGACTTTTCTCACGTTCATCACACATATCTAACCAGGGAGGCAAACCACCGGTATGTACATTTGCTGGAGATCCTTCAGAAGGTAAAGCAATAGGAGTAAGCATCTGCAAGGCTGCGCCCACAAGTAATACCTAAGGTGAGTTCAACTGCTAGAATCACAAACAAGAAAAGCAACAATGCTACAAGCAAAAAATGACTTGGGATGTTAGATACCTCCATTGCTCTCCCTATAATCAGTTCCAATATTGTACTGCAAAATTAATAGATATCAACAACTATGCCCGAAAATTATGCGTATCATGCATGGTACAACAAATGTAATATTACTAATTATTGAAGATTTATAGCCTTTAATGTTTCATACAAGCTATGCATTTAGAAAAAGGCTATTCCATCTCTCTCCATGTGAATCTTTATGCCACATAACATCTCAAAGAAAGTTAGATTTGCAAAAGAAAAAGGCTATTCCATCTCTCTCCATGTGAATCTTTATGCCTCATAACATCTCAAAGAAAGTTAGATTTGCAAAATGATTATAGGCAACTAGAGAAAATTGGACTACTTAACAATTCCTCACTCGTCATAACTATCAAATAAAGTGAAATTGTTTAATGAATAGTCTTGTGCTTTGGAAAAGTGCATGCATCAATAACCCTATTTGATGATGCCTATAGGGGCCAATTAGTTACCTCAATATGGAATGCAATGTAAAGTAGACGTCTGCAAAGCAAATGCAGCCAAATTTACAAGATATTTGTTAAGGAAATGAACCATGATAAAACTAATATCACCAAATATGTCTCAAACCAAACACAGAAAAATTACTTCGCATGTAAAACCTTAACTTTTTACCAACTTTTCGCCAAATCAAACCAAATGGCATAAGTTTGTTGTAAGATAAAATAACATAATACATAGCAAACCTAACCATCAGAACAATTATAGGTGACTTCAAAGAAATCTAAATTATAAAACAAATGGAGCATAAACAAAACCAACAACAACAAAAAAAGAAACAATTTGTGTTAAGAATCCACTAAAGATTTAGGAAAAAAAAAATTAAACACAAAGATCAAGAAGCAAACGTAAATTGTTCTTATGTTTTACAAAACTAGGAAGTGTTTACCACTACAGTCTCCACATGTCCTCTTTTTCCTTTGAAGTCCACGCGTTTACATTCGACACCTGACTTATTTACAAATCTAAATATAAGTATATAACTGGGATGAAATTACAGTAAAGTAAACACAAGTACCTGTTAAATGTCTGTCCACACTTTCCAGGCCACCCATGTGATCAAGAGACACATTTCCCCGCAGGCCCAATGACAAAGGAATCGAGTCCTTGTCAACATGGGCAGCAGTTGCAGAGCCATTATCGTTTGGGTGGCATACCCCATAATTCTCATTTGTATATATTTGTAAAGGCAAAACAGGATGAGAAACATTTGAACTAAAAGAACTAATAGAATGGTTATTAAAACTATCCATTTTATTGGAGTTAAGCTCATGCTTGAATTGGATATCTTTTGACGGCCCCAAAACTGGCCCTATTGGCCCTTCACTTGAACTTGAAGCAACATTCTTCAATGCCTCGCATCCTTTCTCCCACTGCAAAAGCACCATCAACATGCTCAAATCTCAATTAGACATAAACACGCATAATTGCATATACTCCTACTAAAAGTAGAGAAAGGAAAGCACCTTCAGGAGATCTGCCTCTGAAACTCTAAATAAATCGACCCGATCGATCCCTCCCCCGTGCTTCCAAAGATACCTCTTTAGATTCCAAAAGTGCAACTCGCTCGCCAAATGACGAATAGCATTGCCGCTGCAAAAGTAAAATATATACAATTCATCAAGATAGCAGTTGAGAAAAACCTCCAATCTAAGGTGAGCGAAGAATATTTGGGTTACCAGACGAAATAGTCGCCAATCTCGCTAATATCGAGAGCGCAGAAGACGCACCATATACGATTTAGGGCGGCATGCTCTGAACGTAGAAAGCTAGGGTTTCGGATGAAGAATTGGAGTTCGGAGAGCTTGTTCTGAAAGCGGGATAGAGTGTTGGCGAGGGTGCGGCTGTGCTTGGGAAAGTACCGGTGGCGTCGCCCCTGGTCGTGGTTCAGGTTGCAAACCTCGCAGAACTCGAAGGACTCACCTCCACTCTCCCCCTTCTTCTTAGCCAATGGTCGCATCGACGCCTTAGCTTTTTGGAGCTTCGTCATGCATTCAAGGAGGAAGGGAAACGGCGAGAAGGTTCTGTGGCGATTTTAGGGCGCGGGAATTAGCGCAATCCTGCCAAACGGTCAACAACAGACATTTTAATTGCTAAGTATCTTAAATCCCGTTTCTCCGTTTTGGCTTAAATCCTGCCATTCGGTGTATTCAACTTAAGCAGGAAAGTCTCACGAACTCCTCTTCTTCACACGCCGCTGCTCGCGTCAATGCCTTCTTATTCAGCGAGCTCCCGTCTCGACTTCCTCTTCTCTGCGCGTGGAGAGCTTCGGGATATTGGAGACGGAGATTTGTGGGAAGTGATTAGCATTGATGTATTTAGCGAGGTTTTAAAAATCGGACCGGCAATGAGTAGGAAGAAGGAGAGGTTCGTCGATCGGCTCCACTCAATCCGATGATATAACAAATAATAATATTATTAAAAAATTAGTAAAATTAATATAATAATAATGATTATATAATTTTAAAATTTTTATATTTCTATGAATTTTGAGACTAAAAAATAAATAAAATTCATACATACATAAAAACTTTATAAAACTCCAATATTCAAATTTAAT